ATAAACACGTATTGTTGTATCTTATGCAAAGAAAAAAAAGCGCTAAACGAAGATTTTGGCTGGGCCAGCATATTCAAGAACGTAAATTAAAAGGGGAATTTTGGCTGTTTTATGATTTAGATGACGAAAAATTTAAGAATTATTATTAACAACACGTGTTACTCGACTGCCATAACAAACAACAATGCGGTGATGCGAGCGCCAGCCGGCGCGTAGCTCGGGAGGCGAGAAGCGCGGAGGCAGACAGCGTGCGAGTCCGTTCTGAACTAGCCGGTGCAGGCCTTGCGCAGCGGACTCTTTTCAATTTCTTTTCACTCGCTCAATCCACCCCGCTCACCACTTTCTATGTGAAAACGCTACTATGTAAATTGTAATTGCGAGTTGAGCGGAGTCCGTAAGTACTCCGCTCCGCTCCCTAGAACTGAGCGAGCTCATTTCTACTCTTTCTACACGCTCGGCTCTTTCCGTCCGACTATTTGTTGGTGGAAATACAAGTTTGCAGTTTGCGTTTGCGAGTTTAACGAAGTCATTAATGGGTCCGTTCCGCTCGCGGTGGAAACCGGGCTTGAGCCCTACAAATATAATCAAGAGATGAGCTTTTTGAAGCCAATTATTAAGCCAGGTGAAACATATGACAATAATCCAAATACAAGAGATGAAGCCCAAAGAGAAAATACAGATCAACAAGAAAATCAGAAAGAGAAACACTTAGAATCATCATCAAAAAAGAAAAGAATGGATAGTGGCAGCGTATTGGATGATAAAATGATGAAACTTGTTGATCATCAATTAAACACAATTGGAAGTGATGACCGTAACATGAATTTTTTTAAAGGGGTTCTGCCATCCCTTCGGCATTTTGATGATGATCAAATACTGGAATTCCAATCTATGGTCATTAACCTAATACAGAGTATTAAAACTGGACGAAACTATTCGAATTGGCATCAAAATTATTACAATTCACATCATCACAACTATAATAGTGGTGGTTATTATACTAAGCCTCAAGAATCACCGGGAGGAACGTCTAATAATAATAATACTCGGCCTCTTCCTGAAAGTTCATCGATAGTAAATGCAGAAGTGTCTGCAGAAACGCCCACCCCTCTACAACCTGGAACATCGCTGATCCATCGCGATGATCCAAGTGCATCACCGGCACTATCTACAGCTCTAAGTCAATTAAGTGATTATCTGGATCTATCAAATTTCTAAAAACATGTTCTAAATTATCATAAATATAACCAATAAATAAGAATAATAAATAATATAATTAGTTTTTCTTGCCTTATAGTTATCGCCAACTTTTCTTCAGGGCTAAAGCCCGGTTTCCACTGAGAAAGGGTAATGTGCGGAAAATGGTTAGGCGGAACGGACTCCTTTTTACTGAAATAGGTTTGCGTTTCCACCAACGAAGAGTTGGTCATTTGATTTCCACTGCAAAATGAAACTGAGATAGAGAAATGAGCGGACTGAGCTGAACGGAAAATGAGAAATGAAAAACGAATAATTTCAACGAGTTCAGTCAGTTGAAGTTTTTAGCTGGTTGCGTGTGGTCGTGTTGTTGCGATGTTATCGAGTGATGACTGATTATGTGTACAGAAAAAATATACACGTATTGTTGTATCTTATGCAAAGAAAAAACGCGCTAAACGAAGATTTTTTCTATGCCAGCATATTCAAGAACGTAAATTAAATGGGGAATTTAGGCTGTTTTATGATTTAGACGACGAATAATTTAAGAATAATTCTTTTTTTAATTAATATTAACAACACGTGTTACTCGACTTACTCGACAAACAACAATGCGGTGATGCGAGCGCCAGGCGGCGCGTAGCTCGGGAGGCGAGAAGCGCGGGGGGCAGACAGCGAGCGAGTCCGTTCTGAACTAGTCGGTGCAGGCCTTGTGCAGCGGACTCTTTTCAATTTCTTTTTACTCGCTCAATCCGGCCCGCTTACCACTTTCTATGTGGAAACGCTACTATGTAAATTGTAATTGCGAGTTGAGCGGAGTCCATAAGTACTCCGCTCCGCTCCCTAGAACTGAGCGAGCTCATTTCTACTCTTTCTACACGCTCGGCTCTTTCCGTCCGACTATAGCCCGGTTTCCACTGCGAAAGGGTAATGTGCGGAAAATGGTTAGGCGGAACGGACTCCTTTTAATGAAATAGGTTTGCGTTTCCACCAACGAAGAGTTAGTCATTTGATTTCCACTGCAAAATGAAACTGAGATAGAGAAATGAGCGGACTGAGCTGAACGGAAAATGAGAAATGAAAAACGAATAGATAATTTCCACAGGGAACGAGTTCAGTCAGTTGAAGTTTTTAGCTGGTTGCGTGTTGTTGTGTTGTTGCGATGTTATCGAGTGATGACTGATTATGTATACAGAAAAAATAAACACGTATTGTTGTATCTTATGCAAAGAAAAAAAAGCGCCAAACGAAGATTTTGGCTGGGCCAGCATATTCAAGAACGTAAATTAAAAGGGGAATTTAGGCTGTTTTATGATTTAGACGACGAAAAATTTAAGAATTATTATTAACAACACGTGTAAGGGCCGGCGCCCACTGCCGGCACGGCACGGCATGTCATGGCAAAGGATTTCAATACTAATTAAATTATTTTGAATCTTATTTCAATAAGTTTAGAATTTACGTTACCTTATTTTGATACCACGATGCCGCGACGTGCCGCAGGATGCCGCGGCATGACGCGACACGCCGCAGGATGCGGCGGTATGACGTGACTTGCCTTTTCATTCCACGGGATTCCGCGGCACGCCATTGCATCCCGTGAGACATATGGGTCATTTTTGGATCGAGGAATTATGATTGCTAGCTAGTTGAAATAAGGTTGAAACTTGAGCAGCATTTCGATGGGGCGCATTCCGGTCGGTGCGCGGGGCAAGGGAGGGAGAAAACGCACTGGCGCGCGCGATTTTTTCTCTCACACTGACTGAGCGTGGCAAGTAATTAGCACGTGCGTACGCGATACAGTAAAATTACTTCACGTAAAATACGGGAAAATGGATGAAGAGAAATTGATTAATCTGGTTCGTTCGCATGAGTGTATATACGATGTCTCCTCTCGTTTCTACATGGATCAACATATGAAAAGGAACGCATGGCAGAAAATTGCAGAAGAAATGAATAAAACCCGTAAGTTATTTTTTTACTTATTTATTGTCAGAAATAGAAACTAACATCTATTAACAATTTCATTTTGCCAGTACACGTTACCAACATTAGAAAAATATTCCGTGAAACAATCTCTTACAACCATCCCTTCCAGATTATTGAAAACTGTATCATTGGTTCTATCGATTGCATTATTAGTATTAGAGCCAAGTGCCTCCATAGAATGATCATCAATGATAAAGTTATGCAAACACGTGCTTGCTAGTATAATGTTGTTAACGTACTTTGGTTGAACTTTTATACCTTTTTGAAATAGTTCAAATCTTTCTTGTAACATTCCAAAAGCATTTTCTACAATACGCCGTGCTCGACTTAAGCGATAATTGAATATCCTTTTTTTTTCATCATTTAAAAGATGTGAGGGGTATGGTCTCATAATATTTTTTGTTAGTGGAAAGGCTTCATCAGCAACAAATACGTGGGGTAATTTTTGAGTTGAATGTGGTAAAGCTTTTTCCGGTGGTATGCTTAAAAAACCATTACGTAGTTTCGAACCAAATTTGGAGCTTTGAAGTATACCGCCATCGCTATTTCGACCATATGCTCCGACATCTACAATCACAAATTTGTATTTTGCATCCACGACAGCTAATAAAACGATGCTAAAGAACTTCTTGTAGTTGATATACATACTTCCACTGTTATTAGGAGCTCTAATCTTGAAATGCTTACCATCTGTGGCCCCAATGCAGTTAGGAAAATTCCAAAATTTATCAAAGTCGGTTGCAATTGACTGCCATTGTTGGCTCGTGGGTTTCGGCAATGCAGTAGATCTTAATACAGTAAATATTGCTTGACAGGTTTCGTGGACTATTTTACGCACAGTAGTGAATCCCATACGATAGCTAAAAGCTAAAGACTTAAAAGAAGCTCCTGTTATTAGATACCTGTAACAAAACAAAAAAAAAACATTAGTAGACGACTTAAAAGCGTGTGTTATTTAAAATACTTCATTCTTGTTACAGATGAAGAATGTCAGAAGGCATGGAGCTGCCTTCGTAACAATTATAGAAAAGCCTTAAAAAACAGGATGTCCAAAAGCGGTGACGCTGCCAAAAAGAGGCGACCAATTAAATTTGAAAAGGAACTTGAATTTCTGCAAAAGTATTATCAAGATAGACCTCAGCTCTCAAATTTAGACTCTTCTTCCGACGATACACAGCTTTCCGAAGATACGCAGAATATCGAAAATACACAACCTCCCAAAACAGCATCAACTGTTAATTTTCCTGAAGCACAATCGCCTGTATCTCAAATGTCGTGTTCATCCCATGCATCAGATTCTAGACCAGCTAGACATGTTCGTCAGCGATCATACATGTCATCGCAAACACAGTATACAGAAACAACAGCAGAAATATTTAAAAAATACATTGAAAACCAAAAGAAGGAACAACATCCTATGGAGATATTTTTTCAAGCAATGGCGGCAACAGCGAAGACTTTGTCACCAAAATTACAAGCTGAAATAAAACGCGATGTTTTACGTATTGTTACTGATGCAGAAATAAAGCATTTGGAAAATGTGGAGTTAAGTTCAGTTGTGCAGCGAAGTCGTCCTTCGACATCAAGTTCAGGATTCGATATTTCAAATGAATTTCATTCATCTCAGCAATACGCACCAACTTCTGTTGCCAGAACCCATAATACAACTATCGAAAGAAGAAATCCTTTACACAAGTTTCCTTCATTTAATAAGCCCGAACAACAATATAACACCGAACCAAACTGTACTGAATACGAGGTAATCGTTTTTGCATCGGTGTCCTTCCACCCCGTATAGCTTTACGAAAAATAAAATGTCAGAAGATAACATTTTTCTTTCTTCCGCAGCTTTGCCTGTTGCTAATGCCGAGCCGCTTTTAATTGCTTCGACCATTCATATTGATGATGAGAAATCTGGTGAAAGCAGCATAGAACCTCCCGCTTATTCCCCCTTAACTCCTCGACTACTGAATGTACCTGGTGAAAGCAGCATAGAAGCTCCCGCTTATTCCCCCTTAACTCCTCGACTACTGAATGTACCTGGTGAAAGGAGCATAGAACCTCCCGCTTATTCCCCCCTAACTCCTCGACCACCGAATGAGGTTCAACCTGTTGAAAGGAGCATAGAACCTCCAGCTTGTTCCCCCCTTACTCCTCGACCACCGAATGTACAAATGCTTATGTCTCCGAAACCACATTGTTCAACAAAAGAAAACATCCCAAACATTCAATTTTTATCTTCACCATTGCAACCAATGTCGCCAGAGACAACAGAATTATTTAATATTTTAGCTGATTCCCTTGACAATGAAGAATCCAACATTAATAGCAATGAAAACGCTGCACTAGATTCACCGATTCCTTCGGACATAACAAACATCATGAATAGTGATGACTCCGTACAGGACCCAGACTTCGTTTGTCATAATGAAAACGGAATATCTAGTGATAAAAGCTCTGAAGATTCCGTATCTTTGTTAGCGACAATAGAAGAAGGACCTCAAACTGCGATAGAACTACGGGATGAAACTAATACATCAAACCATAACTCAAGCAGTCTAATTTTGCAAGAAGAAGATATTGAAACTGAAGCATCAATCCAAGGAAGACCAAAAAGGGGTAGAAAAAGATTATATGGTGGAGACCTAAGAGAAGACAGAAAGAAGAAAAAATATAATAATCTAAGCTATGTGAACACTAAAAAGCAGGTAGTCGAAAGTAAGGTATTCATTGACTATAGCTGTAATTGTCCAAAACAATGTCAAGAAAAGGTATCATCTGAACAAAAACTAGAAGAATTTAATAAGTTCTATTCGTTTGGTTCATATGTTGCACAAAATATGTATTTGATAGCTTGCATTAAGGAAAAACCTAAGAAACGTGCATACGTCACGACTGCGCGACATAATTTAAAAAGAAACAACAAAACTTATACTCGGGAATATTATTTGAAAAATATCTTAGTCTGCAAACAAATGTTCTTGAATACACTTCAAACGTCATCTAAAAGAATAAACACAGCTCTTTGTAAAATGCGGAATAATTGCCTGAAAGATATGCGAGGACTACAAGCGGGTCAAAATGCGGCTTCAACAGACAGTGAATTGTTTCTGGAAAACATAATTAGGAAATTACCAACTTATATATCACATTATCGCCGAGCTAAAAGTAACGACGCAAAGTTTCTCACATCGGACATGACTTTACCCAAAATATATAATCTCTATAGTGAAGAAGCTAAGTCAGCTGGTCAAAGAGTTCTTTCTTACTCCAAAGTAAGACATGTGTTCGTCACAAAATTTAACTTGCGTACCAAACCCCTTAAAAAAGACACATGCAACAAATGTGACTTCTATGAAAGTAAAAAAAATCAGGCATCGGAAGAAGAAAAAAGGAAAATCGAAGAAGACCACAAAAAGCATATCGACAAAGCTAAATTTTTGCAACAAGAACTCAAAAAAGATATGAAACTGGCAAAAGATGACCCAACTATAGAAACTATTACTTTTGATCTTCAAAAAACGTTGCCTCTTCCGAGGATACCCACAAATATTGTTTTTTATAAAAGACAGCTATGGGTATATAATCTGGGTATCCATACAGGCAGTAATGACCAAGTACATTGTAATGTGTGGGTGGAAGGGGAGGCAGGCAGAGGGTCGCAGGAAGTGGGTTCGTGTTTAATAAAACATATCACAGAAAGATTAAAAGATGGTGTTGAGATTTTATTCCTCTGGAGTGACTCATGTGGGGGTCAAAATAGAAATATTAAACTGACCCTAATGTTGAAAGCATTATTGAATGATCATCCCACTCTAAAAGAAATACATCATCGATTTTTAGAATCTGGCCACAGTTTTTTACCAAATGACACGGATTTTGGCCGGATAGAGTGCTCTCTTAACCCTTAATAAAATAAAGGTAACTAATGGGTGATTTTTTTGAGGTTAGGATTTTCATGCATTAGTATTTGCTCAGATTTTTTGAGGTTATGATTTTCATGCATTATTACGTAGGTCACTACAAAAGTTTTGTCGTATGACAAATAGTTAATAGTTATAATTCAACTGAGGGTAGATTCTAATACATCAACTAATGTCAACATATTTTGCATAAGTTTCGTTGGAGTAACTAGCTTAGTATTTTTTTAGTGAATTTTTTAACAATTGGATATGTCAGATTTAAATCGTCGTGACGTTCGGGTGATAATTTTGTATAACTTTAAGCGTGGATTATCAAAACAACAATGCTTCGAAGAAATGAGTGGTGTGTTGGGTGATAATTGTCCATCCCTTAGGACTATAGAAAGATGGTTTTTACAATTCAATCGCGGCAATTTTAATTTAGAAGACGATTCAAGACCGGGCAGGCCGATTGACGCAACCACTGATAAGAATATTGTGGCTGTGCGAAAAGTGATTGAAGAGATCGCCATGTAACATACCGTCAGATCGAGGAAACACTCAATTTAAGTGCACCAACTATTCATCGAATTCTTCATGAAAACTTAGGAGTACGAAAGCTTTGTTCACTTTGGGTACCACATTTGCTAACTGATGCGATTAGGGAACAGCGCGTCAAATGGTGTAAAGAAATGTTAAAAAAATTCAATGACGGCAAATCTAACTATGTGAATTCAATTATCACTGGTGACGAAACCTGGCTGTATTATTTCGACGTTCCAACTAAATCCCAGAGTAAAGTGTGGGTGTTTGAAGACGAAGATCCTCCGACGTCCGTTAAAATGTCCCGGTCAGTCAAAAAAAGAATGGTAGCCGTATTTTTCTCCAGAAGAGGTATTTTATCAATAATTGTGCTTGATAAACAGAAGACTGTGACAGCTGCCTGGTACACTGAAAAATGTTTACCTCAAGTTTTAGAATCTTTGAAAAATGAACGTCCAAACTCAAGACTCGACACTTGGTTCTTGCATCATGATAACGCTCCCGCGCATCGAGCCGGCAAAACTGTGGACTATCTGAGTCAAACTGGGATCAAATTACTGGGACACCCTCCTTATAGCCCAGACTTAGCACCGTGTGATTTTGGCCTGTTCCCATATGTAAAAAAGCAACTAAAAGGCCGCAAGTTTACTAATGATGACCAACTTTTAGGTGCTTTTGAGGAGATATGCAGCAGTGTGCAGGAAGGATTCTGGAGCGACATCTTTGATACGTGGTTTGCACGTATGAAGACCTGCCTAAGTGCCAATGGAGAATACTTCGAAAAAAAATAATATTTCACGGAGTACGACAAAACTTTTGTAGTGACCTACGTATTTGCTCAGTATGCTTTGACATTTCATCATGAATAGACTTACTAACGAGCAACGCTTGCAAATCATTGAATTTTATTGCCAAAATCAGTGTTCGGTTCGGAATGTGTTTCGCGCTTTACGCCCGATTTATGGTCTACATAATCGACCAAGTGAGCAAACAATTAATGCGATTGTGACCAAGTTTCGCACTCAGTTTACTTTATTGGACATTAAACCAACCACACGAATGCGTACAGTGCGTACAGAAGAGAATATTGCGTCTGTTTCTGAGAGTGTTGCTGAAGACCGTGAAATGTCTATTCGTCGCCGTTCGCAGCAATTGGGTTGGTGTTATTCGACCACATGGAAGATTTTACGCAAAGATCTTGGTGTAAAACCGTATAAAATACAGCTCCTGCAAGAACTGAAGCCGAACGATCTGCCACAACGTCGAATTTTCAGTGAATGGGCCCTAGAAAAGTTGGCAGAAAATCCGCTTTTTTATCGACAAATTTTGTTCAGCGATGAGGCTCATTTCTGGTTGAATGGCTACGTAAATAAGCAAAATTGCCGCATTTGGAGTGAAGAGCAACCAGAAGCCGTTCAAGAACTGCCCATGCATCCCGAAAAATGCACTGTTTGGTGTGGTTTGTACGCTAGTGGAATCATTGGACCGTATTTTTTCAAAGATGCTGTTGGACGCAACGTTACAGTGAATGGCGATCGCTATCGTTCGATGCTAACAAACTTTTTGTTGCCAAAAATGGAAGAACTGAACTTGGTTGACATGTGGTTTCAACAAGATGGCGCTACATGCCACACAGCTCGCGATTCTATGGCCATTTTGAGGGAAAACTTCGGAGAACAATTCATCTCAAGAAATGGACCGGTAAGTCGGCCACCAAGATCATGCGATTTGACGCCTTTAGACTATTTTTTGTGGGGCTACGTCAAGTCTAAAGTCTACAGAAATAAGCCAGTAACTATTCCAGCTTTGGAAGACAACATTTCCGAAGAAATTCGGGCTATTCCGGCCGAAATGCTCGAAAAAGTTGCCCAAAATTGGACTTTCCGAATGGACCACCTAAGACGCAGCCGCGGTCAACATTTAAATGAAATTATCTTCAAAAGTCATGTACCAATCTAACGTTTAAAATAAAGAACCGATGAGATTTTGCAAATTTTATGCGTTTTATTGTTTAAAAAAGTTCTCAAGCTCTTAAAAAATCACCCGTTATATTACCACTTTGTACATTTTTTTAAATCCATTAATTATGCAGTTAATATCAATTTAGAAGAGCTAGTTTTGGCAAATTGTAATTTTAGAATATTTACTTTATCTTAATTATGGCAACACTCAACACAAAAATGTCAATTGTCAGTGTCAAGTCATGTCAAAGTTGTCAAGTCGTTAGATTGTTGAAAAAATTTGAAAAATTGGCGTCGTTCTGCAATTTTTTGTCGAGTTTCTTCAACAAAGAATCTGGTAAGTTATTTTGTGATTCTAAAACGTATAGTGAATTATATTCTTGTTATTGTCTTGTTGTTTACTGTGCGTGAATGTAAATATTTGTGTATTTTTTGGAGTTCCAAAGAAGTGGTAAATAATTTGCCTTTGTCTGTTCACGTTTCGTAAAAATAATAATTATATACATAAAAATTGTCTGTTTGTAATAAAGCCTCTTCCATTAGAAATTACAAACAACTACGCCATTTTCACATGGGGGTAGGCAGGAACTAAAACTGGGTCATCATATTGTTTTTTCTTTTTTTGTAGAATCAGCATGTCAGCGAGAAAGAAATTAGCGGATGACGTGATTCAAAATCTTGTAGATAATCTTGAGGATATTTCTGACTTGTCGGAATGTGATGAGAATGATGACCCGTGTTGGGGAGATTTTGTTTCTAGTCCTGCAGATTCCTGTATAAGTTTACCAGCAGAACAGGTCCTTGAAAGACGTCTAGAGGAAATGTTTGGACCAGAAGTCAATCACGAAGACGTTGTTCCAGGGACAGAATTTGTTGAGCAACAAAATGGCAATCTTTTAGAAATCTGAGTCAAGCTGTGATCGCAATATATCTCCGGTACCTAGTCTAGATTTATCTTCTTCAATGTCATGCTTGCAACAAAGTATTCCGCTAGCAAGTGAACAAAATCCTTTACTTGCTGATTAGGACCTGTTTACAAGCGAAGAACCAGCCGATAGCTCTGCTTCTTTATTTATTAACAGAAATCTGCAAACCATTGAGTTAGAGTGTGTGCAAGACCTTGTGACCTCCAATGTTTCCGATTCTGGCAGATCTGAATTTATAGTCGCAGAAAGTAACTCGTCCACTCAACAAAACCATCATCACCACGCACGCAGAGACCGAATTTTACCACGGGACTGGAAAATTGCATCTGATCCCCGCACCATCCCTTTGTTTGATAAAAAAGCTGAGCCACATAAACGTTACACTCATAAAACACAACCCATCGAAGTATTTCAAAATTTTTTCCCCGATTATGTTGTTGAAATAATTGTTGAGCAAACAAATAGATACGCACATCAAAAAAAAGTAATCATTGGACACCCGTTTCTAGCGAAGAAATCAAAGCTTATCTTGGAGTTCTTGTAATGATGGGACTGAACCCACTTCCGGACATGGAACTGTATTGGTCCAGTGATCCTTTTTACAACAACGCCGAAATTTCACGGGTTTTCACACTTCAAAGATTTAAAAAAATTACTGAAATCTTACACCTAAACGACAATGAGATGGAGCCACCCAGAGGTTCTCCAAATTTTGACAAAGTCTACAAGTTGCGGCCTTTAATCACAGAATTAAATAAAGTGTTTAAAAATGAAATGAGTAACTCAAGCCGACAATCTGTCGACGAATGTATGGTGAAGTTTAAGGGAAGAAGTTGTTTAAAACAGTACATGCCGAAAAAACCCATCAAGAGGGGATTTAAAATCTGGGCAAGATGTGATTCTAGAACCGGCTATATGTATCAATTCCAAATATATACGGGCAAAGGAGACAATGTCGAAAATGAGGGTTTAGGGTATAATGTAGTTATGTCTCTTTGCAACGAACTGCCCCAAAATACACTTGTAGCTTTTGACAATTTTTTCACAAGCTGCAATCTGATGGATGACTTAGGCCTCCTACGCACTGGCGACCATGGTCGCCGCGACCTGGCCGCGGCGGCCAGTGAATTCTGGACTTTTATAGCAATCGCTATATAGCCCCTACGCACTTAGCGGCCAGCGACCAGCGGCCACCGTTGGCCGCGGCGTCCAATTTGATGCCACGCGACCAGCGACCAATCGTGGCCGTCGAGAACATCACTTCTGTATTAAAATTCATCAGTGCTACCGCATCGGCCGCGGCGACCAGACGTGTAGCTAGCTACAGAGTGATTATTTTACAATGGCCAATTTCGACACGGAAAGGTTCATAATTGAAGTTGAAAATAGAAGAGGTTTATGGGATTTAGAATCAAATGATTACTCCAATAAAGATGTTAAGCGGCAGTTGTGGCTTGAACTGGTCGATATATTTGGCGGTGAATCCATGGAAGATAAAGAAAAGGCAGAACTTGGTTAGTATTTTATTTTATTATGCCTAAGTAAATTAATAATGCGATGAACTACAATAAAAGCAGCA